AGGCACCATTTTTGACTGGCTGATCCACACTATGCTGTAGAATGTCCAAGGAGTTTTTCAGTCAATGGCACTGGTTTGTTTCGTCTGTCATTCTTCCCAATGTTTACATTTTTCAGCTCATCATTGAGTTCACTTATGGTTATGTGCTTTTGATTATGAGCTTTGCATATGACCAACTTCATTACTAGAGGCAAAAGTCCCTCCAGCAAATCATGCATTACATCTGGGGGAAGACATTTTGTCACGTCAAAGTAAGGCAGCGCATCAAATGTACAATTACCATTGACACCATATACAACAGCACTTTGTTTGTCATTTTTTACACAGTCTACGTGATATTTATGTACCTCAGTTGTTCTAAGAACAAAACTCTCCTCACAAAACCCATGTTGTATCTCTGAATGTGAGGCCATACAATATCGACATATCCGGCCAGTATTAAAAGACATAGAAAAGCCCCCAATCATATGAGCAGAGAGGTTGTCACATGAAATGGTTGCTAGAGCAGCTTGAATTGTGTGCTCTACTTCATCAAGACTGAACGTGAGGCCCTCTGTAGAGAGCATCTTCAGGTCAGCTATCAAGGGCTGTAGTATAGTTTCAAGCCCAGACTCTTTCACATGTGAATGCCGAACCATTAAGGCTAAATGAATGTGACCCAACTTTGAGCGATATTTTCCACTTATGTTCCCAACTGTATAATAAAAAGCACATAGTTTGTACTTATTTCTTTTAGCCCCCAGTGGGTTCACAAGTTCAAATTCATCTTCATAAAAGTGAAGTCTTAGAGCTTGAGGGTGATCTTTGAAAAATGAGTGCTCTTTAAAGTACACCCCCTGACTGTAATCGGTCAGAATGTCATCATCTCGATTTCCGTGGTTATCCAAAACAATCTGTTCCCACACATCCTCCACCTGGCAATATTTTTGCAATACCTGTGTGATTGGAACATAAGAATAAGTACCGATTTTCATTCCTGAATTGTCTCTTACTGTGTAACTGATCGGTTCTGTCATGTCCATTTTTGATTTGCAGTGCTCTTTTATCATGAATGGTGACCGAATAGAATCGCATGCTTTCTGAAAAAAGTCTGAAGAAGACAAAACCTGCTCAAGTTCTGGGCAATCACTAATGCGGAAACCAGTCTTATCCAAATGATAAGAAATGAATGAGTCATAGTTTTCTTTGAAAAAACACAATAAAAAATGTAGGTCATCAACAATATCTTGTTGGACAGAGAGTGAGAGATTATTTTTTTCAGTACACTTGAGAATGAAACTAAATAAATGGTCTCTTAAATTTTCAAGCAAAGTGTCTATACTTGGTGGTGTGGGCTGTTCAACTGCATGTGTGTGTTCAACTAGTTCTTCAAAATGTTCTTCAGTTACTTCAGAGCAATCAGAAATGTTGTGTTTGTGTTTTCGATAAACATGCCGCCTAAAAGAATGATACTTGGAAAATGCAGACTGGCAGTTACTTATCCCACAGGTTATGTTGAAATGAGGGTCGTGTGCATGTACAAGTCCAATATGATGAATCAGTTTTCTAAGAGTAAAGGTCCTCTTTGAGCATTTTGTACACTGATGCAGTCCAGGCATGATCAATGAAGAAGGTTGACAATTCGAGTTACAGTTACCGGCAGGGATTTGTCTCCATCCCCCGTGATGTTTGCGATGAGCCTCTGGAGAAAGGTCAGTGTCTTTTTCAAGTATCCAGGATATGCCATGTTGAAGACAAAGTACATGCAGAAAGCTGCAATGAAGGCCTCATCCACCGAAGTGCAAGAACAGACCTCAATTCCCTCGACATTGACCACACTCTGGCACTGTCTGGAGAGGGCAAATTTCAACCCTTGTGCTTTCAGTTGAACGGTTGGATATGGAGTTTGAGGATTTTTCTGCATAAGAGAAAAGAATGTTAGCATACATAACAAGATCAATATGATTAAGCATGCACAGTGATCTAAAAGAACATTAACTTATGGCTAGTGGCTATGCAGGACACCAGGTATTTACCTGTCCAAGCATAATGAAATCCTCAATCTTCTCCTTGAATATGGATGGCAAGAGGAGGAGTCCACCCCTGAAGTCAATTCCTAGGTCATAAAGATTTTACAATTTTAATGCATTTCAAGGAATGTTGGTTGACACAAATAACCTGTAAATTCCAAGACAGGCTACCGCATGTTACTTCAGGTTCAGTACAATAAACTAAAATGTATTAGCTTTTAAAATGTATGTGAGAAATAAAATTAAACATTATCAAGATAATGTTGCATTATACACCCACTATGTGCCACAGATTAACAATGCAATACCAGTTCAGTGGAACTGTACACAGTCTCTTTAAAAAACGGACTGTACACAACTGACACAATGATGGAGCAAAATTAACAAGTTGTATGTGCTCAAATCAGTACCTTTAATATCCTCAGCCAAGGCATCCTCTCTTGCTTCCATGTATAGTTTTTTCAGTGGCGAATCCTTGACAAGTTTCAGCATATTTGGGAGAATAGATGTGAAGTTCTCACTGATGCGGTGGCATATGTTGACTGGAGAGGGGTGCATGGCATCAACCTCATCGCACAACTGAGACTGTAAAAAGAAAAATAGGGGAAAGAAAGGCATAGGAGGAACGCTGTAGTGGCAGCCAGGACAGATGCAGTAAAATCTTACAAATGGAAATTAATTACAACTGTAGGAGAAGTCTATATGAACCTTTTTTCAGAATTTCTGTTAAGTGTTAATATATAGACCGGGAGCAATTTAAAGCACTGACTGTGGCTGAAGTTGGCAGCAGTTTAATTGTTCTTACCCCAGCGGATGTTCTTAGGAATGGAGATCTCCTCAACAGATCTTCAGTTGACATTCCTTTTGCTATTTCTCGGCGTCTCCATGCAAAGGTTTTCATCATGCGGTCTTTCACCAGATTCATGTCGGGATGCAACTTTCTGTATTGCTCAAGCACCTTGATTTGAGCCTCAACAGAGGTTGCATCCTCCCCCACAATGCATGATTCCTTTATCAAAGCAGATATCACTGGTTACAGATCATATGTACACAATATAACAATGTGATCTTGCCTTAGCTTTTGTGAGATTGAGGGGACTTACTAGAGATGGCTTCAGTCGTTTTGGACATGTGGATGTAGATTCTTGTGGAGTCTTCAGTAATCTTGCTTGCCAAAACTTTTCTTTGACCCGTTTTACTTCATTGTTGATTAGTGGAGCTTGTTCTGTTTGGAATTTTCTCTTGAGTTGGCTGTGCCAGGTATGCTGGTTGTTCCAAACAGATATCATGAAAGTTAATTATGCATACTTCTGTAAATCTAAAATATTTTAAAATTAGAGACCAAAGGAGAGGTACTTACATAACCATTCCCGTGTACATCCCTTAAGAAAGGGTACTTCCCAATTAACGCTTTAACGACCTGAACGTAGTCCGAGTTGGTTGGATACCTGTCTCAAACAATGACAAAACAAACTACATTACCATATTAAGGTGACTGCAGGAGAAAATTTAAATATCACTTTCTACCTGTTTAAATGTATGCTTGTTGAACAGGTGTATGGATAAAGTATTGGTATTTACTTGCAAAGGTTTAATTACATTTACAGTAACAAGTGTAGTTGTCATCAATTCGAGTAAAATGTTATATTCACTGCACGTGGTTCACTGACTTCACTCTGTGCACGTGTTATTGTGTGGGTGTGTGCCGGGGTGACAAGTTTGCATGCGTGCATCTGGTGGAAAATTATAAAAACTATACATATTAAATTTTATGTTTTGTATGATATTTGGAAAAGAACACTTACATTGGACACTGTGACAGCATGTCATACAGAGTCCCAATTATTTTGTTACGGTACTTTTGTTTCTTGCGGACCGGTTCTTTAGCATCTAAGCGGCTCTGGACATCTTGTAGGAATTGTGGAATAGAAATGACTGCAGGCAGTCTGTGGCAAGTAGATTCCAACCTGCAATACAGCAGAAGAAAAACATTATCAGATTAGGACAACACCACCTCAATGAAAGATAAAAATAGAAAAAGAAATGGTGAAAAAAATAGCCTAATTAATACATTACCACCTCTGGTTTGCTGGGGACACAGAAGCTTCACATGTTTGTTGTTCTGGGTTGACCACTTCCAAAGTAACGGTGACCTCCTTGTAGCGGTGTGTGAAGTCTCTGAATTTTAGCTGCTTTTTGAAAGACTTGTCAAAGAGATATGCAATCATATTTTCTGTGAGTCTGCAGTCTACTGTCTCTCCATCCACATCATTGTCTGAAATATAAATGAAAAAGCTATTAAAAGAAGCACTGAAACTCTGGACATACAGATAGTGACTGACGCAATTCATTAAAAAAAACAACCTTTTTTGCAACTCGCTGTAATATGGTTTGTAAATAAAGTTTTTAAAAAACTGTATATAATCATTATATGTCATTATACAGAAATGTTTAGTATGTTATTTTTCTAATTCTCATTATCATCATTAATTATTATTAATAATAGCCTCTTATGTTCAACAGAAAAATACATCATACAAACAGCAACTTTTGCAGCCTTGTCAGTCTGATGGCGAGTTATCCCCTTAGTCATCATTAACATACTGTTAATAATCAAAGCTCTGAGGCTTTACATTTTTTCTATATGTTAGAATACAAGATGTCAGCATCAAGCTACAATCACGCTACATTCATGATTTTGTACAGTCAAACTAACCAAATACTTCTTATTGATCATCATTATAACGTTTCAGGATTTCAGTTTCCTGTAACCATGGTAACTCACGGTGCCAGTGGGGAGGGAGGGACTCGGAATGAAGCCGTTTACAGACACACCACACAGTGCAGACTATAGTTGTTATTTCACACATGTAGCACTCAGCTGGATACTCTTTGTGTCAGACGAGTTCTCACGTGTTGACTAAAGTCAAAAACTAACGTACGTAGCACCGCGACGAGTCCTTGTAAATAAAAGTGCAATGTTTCCAGCCTGCTTCAGACAATGCTGCGTTTACTGACTAATTATTAAAAACCAGGATGTGTTGCGTGAACTATCTTAAGCCACTCAGCACTAATATCCCCGCACATTGCTGTGTGTTGCGTTAAACGGAAGATAAAAGGTTGCTACTTGGAGAGAAAATTAATTAAGCCAATTCAAAATATATATTTTTTCCTTTAACATGTTTTTACCACCAACTACGATATAAATGTTTTGTCGGAATAAAAATGGAAACATGAATAAATAAACACCAAGTAAGAAACACTAGTGAATAAGATACATACGAAATTATAACTTACTTCAAATTCAGAGTGTATTCGCGGGCTTGGGTGATTTCTTTTGTTTGTTGGAGCTTTGAGCGGGAGACAGTGTACCTTTGCTAGCTTGACATTAGCATGGCTAATAACGTTAGCCGACTTAATTATGTGAGCAAACTAGCTAATATTTTCAATAACTTTACTTACTACCTGCGTATTTGGCAGTTCAAGGTACAGTATTGTCTAGCTTAGCTACAGTAGCGTTAAGTGAATTAACGTTAGTGACTGTAATATCAGAACCAGCTTAGCTAGCTAGCTAGCTACTGATACCAATGATTTGATGTTAGCTAGAAACATTTTCGTCTTTGGTGATAGTTATGAAGTTCAAACTTTACTTACCACCAACTTTTGTAAAAGTTCCTCCGTGGACAGCCCCTTGAGTGACATAGCTGCTGAATGAACAGTTGAATCGTGAACGGACACTTTTCTTTTTTTTTGTGAACTGACTCCTGTCTGTCCTGCGCGGCACTAGTTTGACGTCTCTGGTATTAGTGCGCCGCTGTTGCTTGACAACCAGTGTGCTACCTTGGGGAACTATATTTTGGCAGAAGAATTAGGATTTGTTTTCAGTAAATAATTTTATGTTACTAGGTTGTCTACAGCCACCATTTTAGTAACCATTTAATAAAAGCTCACCGAACCGTGATTTACAGTGAGTGATTTTAGAAGACTAGTTCAGGTGGGTAATTAGATCCATTTATCTGCACAGGAAATTATTTGTCTGTCTTCAGAAATGCAGGGACAATTTATTGAGCTGAACAGGGATGGCAGGTTGAAGCATCTTTTTGCCACTTGTTCTCTTGTGATCTTCTGGGTGGCACTGATGAGGGAATATCCGGATACGGCCTTAAAACTTCTCCTTCCTTTTGCCTCCACATACTTGTGTGAGGCAGGCTTTTCCAAACTGACTGAGCTCAAAACAAAAACACCACGTTCAAATGAGGCTGTAAATCCAAAACTGAGCTGAAAATTCAACAGATTTGTAGAACAAAATAGTCTCATGCTTCACATTGAGCTAAAACTAAATGTTGGCAATAATAAAAGGCTATCAACAATAAAAACAATAACAATAATAATAATAGTTCTAAATACCTCAACTATAACTACTAATATAGGCCTATAATACTACAATTACTTCAAATACTGCATGTACCCCTTCAAATGGTACAAATTTGTTCTTTCTTTTGCTTTAAGTCACTTTGTACCCTTTCTGTTAGTCAAAAGGTACACTTATGACCTCTTAAAGACCAATACTGTATTATTGAGGGAACATTCTTCAAAAGTGTACCCGTAAGTACAAAACTGTTCTTCTCTCGTACCTCTATTTTTGTGTGTGTATACTGAATTCCTAAAGCAATAAAAGCAAAGGCTACAGTGACGTCTGTCGACCTGTAATGTTTAAGACAGTTATTGGTATTGGACCAGAACCAACTGACACCCGGAGTGAAGGCTTTAGAGTCGGTATCTGGAGAACTCGCGTCTAATCCGAGCATCTTGAGCCCCCATTTGCTCAGACGGAGTTGCTCATCGCCGAGCAGACGGAGACTTTGGCTCAACTAAGCAGATCTCCGGGTGTGAGCGTGACTACGTCGAGCAGCCCGCTGCCGAGGAACCGCATCTATAATACGCTGTAAGTACTCTACCCGGGCAGATAAAGGTTAAAAGGAATTTAAAGCCAGCAGCTGCCGGCCAATGGATCTTGAACATGTCCAACGTGCTCGGAGGTAATAGAACAAGCTCTCAGAAATCCCCAGACTGTGAAATTACCATCAGTGAATGTAGCTTAAGCTATTCTGTCATCTCCACTCAGTCAGGAAGGGAGCACATCTCCTTTCTGCAACGCTACCGACTCTCTTCACGCAGACTTTTCCCTCCGACTCCAAAACTTTTCATAAGACCTTAAAAAAAGCACACTGATATGCATGTTTAGAGAAGGAGAAAAGCAAACCTAGCTGGTGGAACATCTATAAATAAGCACGATGTAGGTTGCTTTTAAATTTAGGCATCGCAGAATATGATGTAATGCCACTGAAGCGAAAAGGTAACTTCTCTGAAAGGGAGAAAAATGACAATAATAAATAACATTACGTCTTATTTTTTTTAAAAGGTAAAATAAAAAGGTGATGAACTTGGGAGAAATATAAATAAACTTATTTACGGTAACAGTTATGCCCTGAATCAGCATTCCACATCACAGACGTTAACATGTGTTTCCCTCCGTGTTGTGGAGCATGTATGTTGTACGTCAGGAACGTGTGTATGTATGTGAGTTACAAATACCTCAACATAAAGCTGCAATACAACAGGTCAGAAAGCCCCACAGTGTATCTTTAATTGCAATGGAGGGTGACATTTACAGAATGCACGTTACGCTAATAGGTCGACTGTGGTCAGTGCACATTATTGCCAAGAAAAGTTGCAAAAATATGACTTTCTACTAAATCTGCTAAAAGCAGAAATGAAAAAGAATATTCATTGAAGCTTCTGAACGATGCAAAATAAGGGGGATGAAGCATACCTTTCATTTCATTAAACGGGATATAATTCAGTTTTTACCATCGGTGGTGAACTGAGCCAGCTGAAACAGAGAATCTAACATCTGTGCGTCTTTAATGACGCCATGCGTGATGTCAAGAGAGGATCGAGAGGATGCAGGTTGTCATTCCATTTAATCAAGCACTCTGAAAACGTCCCTAATTGGATCCTCGCTCTCTGGCAGAAGTCGTGCTAATCAGCGGGAGCAACCTGTTTGTCTTAGTTTGAAAGGAAAAGCTGCATGCAGCACATTTTAATAAGTTCGCCTTGGGTACGTATTCAAAATGTAGATCCCACTTTAAATGCAACGCCAATTACAGGACTCATTACAGCGCAGCAGCCTGCGCCGTTCACCCTCTCTGCTCCTTTAATCGCAGTTTAACCGGCAAAGACCCTGGAGGGTCGCGACCTGCGGGGAGGCCCTTTAGGCGGGGGGGAGGTCATTTGTGCAGAGGGCTCGATCTCTGGCGCGCTGGGATGAAACAGCAGTTGATCACCTCTCAAACAGTAATGATAATAGTCTGCAGCTCGCAGCCGGGGATGAAATGGACTAAAAGCAGAGAAAAGGAGGAGGAACGCAGGAGGAACGCAGGAGGAACGCGGAGCGGCGTGCGCTGCAGCTCTGACGTCCAGCAGATGTTCCCCGACCGCGCGGCGTTCATTTCAAACGCTGTTTGAGCCGTGCAGCTCATTATTGACATCATCTCTCTCTCTCTTTCCACCGGTGGGATGCTGCGTGATGACGCCTGCGTTGGTCGAAGCTGCAGAATGATTCTGTGCATTTGAATTAAATTCACTTAACATTTTTCATTATTTCTCTGTTGTGGTTTCTGAAATGCTGCTGTGTTTGGATCCTCAGCGACGCCTTAATGTAGGAAAAAAAGATGAATTACAGCTTCAGCTTCTTTATTGTTTTACCAATAGTCCAAAACCCAAATGATGCCATAACATAAAGCAGTAAATCCACACAGAATTGCATTAGTACCACGATACAATGCGCTTGTGTTTACACAATGTAGCTCACAAATATCTGCTTGGTTATTTCTGTACTCGTTTACACGGATCCCGTTAAAGCTCAGATTACACTACATTGTCTTTGCATTGTCAAACAACTACTAATATAAAATATAAAGTACCAGTCAAAAGTTTAAACACACTTTGTGACTGAACTGAATGAGTAAACGTGTCCAGACCTGAATAAACGTAGAATAGATTGTGTTGGAAACAATGTGACACATTTTCAGATCGTGTTAAAATGGATTTGTTATCCCTCACTGACTGCAGTGCAAACAGAAACAATTCCACCTTCCATTGTTGGCAAAATTAAACATTCCAGTCAGAAAGAAACATCTGTTTACTTCAGCGCGCTGAACGCTGGACTTTTTCTTTTCTCATTAAGCATCTTGGAACGATCCCAGAGGACGTGAGAGAAAAAATCTTTCGATTTCTCCGGCTGTTGAAACTGTTTTCTAGAGGTTTCTTTTTCCTTTCCGGAGGTATCGGGAAACTACAAAGAGTCAGACAACGCGGGAGGAACTTAACTTGATCAACCAGAGGCTTCCCGTCGCAGCGGGAGATGATGGATCTCCCGGTGGCACAGCGGCCCGGTCCTGTAACCGGATTATTACATTACATTCCTAACACAGGTTCTGCTGGGTCCTGATATACACACAGAGCGTCTGTGTGTGTGTGTGTGTGTGTGTGTGTGTGTGTGTGTGTGTGTGTGTGTGAGGGGGGGCTCAGGTGTAGATCCTCCAGAGACACAATTCCTTTGAAGATAGATAGCGTGTTTGCACTCGCTGCGCTCCAATCGACGGTCGAGATGCGGCGTGACGTGTAGGAAACCGCTTCAAATAACGGTTTGAACTGCGTGTGTTTCTCTCGACGATCGACTGGAAAGCTCTGTAATTAAAAGGACTCTTCCCTGAGATCACTTTTCAAAGCAATTTACGGAATAATTTGCTTTTGTCGAGCAGATGTGACGACGTTAAGACTCAAGGCTTCCTGCAGGAACACGTGTGTTGCTTTTTATTACCGCGTTTTAAAATATCCCGGACATAACCGCGCTGCGTCGCCTAGCAACAGAAAGACGCCTCCAGAGTAGACCGGCGTCAGAGCCGAGAGGCCTCGCGGTGAGCCGCCCAGTTTCACTTTGCCCCGACGTTGGTTTCGAGCGCTTAAGGTCGCCGTTTGGGGTCGCCGCCATTTTGTTTGTGTTCTGCAACCAGAGCAGCACATCCTCCCTGCAGAGGGCCGCGCCTTCTTTTCATCAACCCGGTGGAGCTGCCGACCACAAAGTGGAGAAACCAATGACGGCAAGTCCAGCATGCACGCCAGTATCTCCGTGATAAAGGGCTCCGGAGCAGGAACGTTGCATCCATGAGAACATCTCACAGAGGACGAGCAGAGCTGCAGCTCCGCCCGGAGCAGCGGAGGGATCCGTTCCTCTGGAGCTCTGAGATTCGCTTGTTTCACTGTGGTTAAATCAGCGGGGTTAACAAGCACCCCGGGGGTGCCGCCGGAGGACAGGGTGGGGGGCGGGGGGATCGATAATCTGATAGAAGGGCTTTCAGGGCGAGACAAGGTGTCCTCCGGCTGCGGTGCGGCCGAGCTGATCGAATCCGACATGTTTATTACGAGTCCCGGCGTGCTGCTTGGTGGTTTACCGCCAATTAAGGCCAGCGGCCCGCTCGCCCCCTCTCGCCTCTGCAGGATGAACACGCTGATTAACGCGGTGGCCTGCATCTGAATGGAGGCGCCGGCGATCACAGCCCCCCCCCTCCCCCCGTGCCGTTAAATCCGAGGCTGGGAAAAGCTTGTGGATGGTTTTAGACGTCTCGGAGAAATAATTGTATTTGTAGGAATTTCAATCCCCCGGCCAGCCTGAAAGTGCGTGAACAAGATAATTCAATTTCCACAAACTCTCCACTTGATTTAGATCTGGGTTTGTTTTTAATTGGGTGGAAGTCGGTTGTTTCCTGGCTGTCCTCTGCTGTGAGCCAAAATACATCTAAAGTATTTACTTTTGCTATTCCACTAAAGAATGTCTGAGCAACCTCCTTCGAATTACAGGATGTAAAAGGAATGCGACTGGCATATTTCTCCCATATAGATGAACACGTAGTGATCGTTTTACTCGACTGGAGAGAAAACACCGAGCAGCCATCAAGTTTCTCTGAAAACGCTGTTCAGGAAATGTTGCTTAAGTAGTTTGACCAACGGCGATTATTTTTAATTGGACTAAAACATTTCTCATGAGCTGATTTTCACCAACCACTGAATTGTGTACGTTGATACGGTGACGTCTGATTTTGAGGAAACCCCGAACGTTTAAACATAAACCGCAGAGCTCATCCGCTCTGCTGCGACCTTCATTATGAATTTGACATTTCAAAATGTATGAAATATTTTTTTTTTGTGCTGTTCAACTGGTCAGTCTGAATTTAGAGTGAACAAATGTCACACCCTTTGAAACTCCCATCCTGGCATTCTGCAGCGGATGGAGGGCAGAGGCCTCGTTTCGGGCCGCGCTCCTTGATTAATGCGCGCCCTCTTTTACGCATCGGGAATTCTGATGAGACGATCATATTTCCACTGTTACGTTATTCCTGCAGCACGATGAATGAATGCACTTTTCGTGGGGCCCCTTGTTTTAATGATGGATTGCGTGCTGCATCTTGGGAGAATTTCAATACATTAGGGATCAAGTTTCAACGGGAATCATGGGAGTTTTGCAAGCTCTGCTCTTTCGCCAATCTGATGAACGGTGCCAAACCAACGCCGAGCCGACCCGCAGAAC